CAGGTTCACTAAGTGTGGGATGGAGTCATTAAGTATGATTCAACATTTGAGCAGGTGCACAGTTTTGGGCCAGTGTAACAGAACTGCTGCGTCCCATTGCTCTGCTGTTGGTTTCCTCCAATATGCATCAAGTTGCAGTGTCTGTGGCACCTGGTACTGAAGCCTGATCAGGATGATAAATGGTGATGGCGGTGTTCTCATACACATAGCACCAAGGAGGAGAGTGGTAGACTCAACTCTTTTTTGGGGTACTGCTAAAGCTAATGTTGATGTACTGCTACAGTTATGAGCCTGGTTTTCTCTGTTTAAAAATTGCAAATTCACTTATTAAAATTCCCAAATTACCTGATTCAACCCCTGCTACACCAAATCTGTGTTTTTCCACAATTAAAATTAAACACCACTATATATATATAGGTATTAGTTGAATACAATATTTATTGATTTACTTACAATTAGGAAGCCTACCAGTGCCTCAGTCATTAAAATAAAATAAATTCTAAATACCTATGTACTTTAGCGCCTAATTTTGTTGTTTTTTTTATCGTGGAAAATCAGAGTTCCCCCTGCCCCCTTAGCTCACCAGGACAAGGGTCCAGTTGTGGTTGTCTCCCCTTCTGCTTTGTGACCCTAAGTAGCCTTCGTAGGCTGGTGCCGTGTCCCTGCCCATGCCATTGCCCCTCACTTCTGACCCATAGGCCCCTGGCCTTGCAGGTGCCCCTCAATCCCAACACACAGTCCCCCACCCTCTGGTCATGCTGGTGCCTGTCACTCCAACCCACAGATCCCCATCTCTGCTGGTTCCCCTCACTCCCAACCCGCAGCCCCCTGGCCCTGCCAATGCCCTCACTTGCAATCCACAGCCTCTGCGCCCCCGGGCCTTGTCAGTGCCCCTTACTTGCAACCTGTAGCCTCTGGTCCCTGCCAGACCCCTCACTCCTGACCCATACTCCGCTGCCCCCAGGCCATGCTTGTGCCCCCTCACTCCCAACCCACAGCCCCCCACCCCTGCCGTTGCCCCTCACTCCCAATCCACAGCCCCCTGGCCTTGCCAATGCCCACAATTCCCAACGCACAGAACATCTGGCCCTACCATGGTGTCCCTCACTCCCAGCCCACAGCCCCCTGCACCCCCACCCTGCTGGAGGACCCCGCTAACTGCCACTGTCCCACCTGGGCAGCACTGTGGCACCTGTGGCAGCTCCATCTTGTGTGGGATGCAATGGAAAGAGTCCAGCTCTGGCGCGGGCTGGAAGGAGGAGAGGAGGCCTGTGGCACCCCCCCCCCCTCCCTGGGCTGGGGCTCTGTACTATGCCAGGTGGCCAGGCCACAGCTGTCCCCCCAGCAGGGTCTCCCGAATGCCCCACCCCTGTTGGCACAGGCACCAGCCCCAATGCCACTGGCCTGGTCACGCATCTCCCCACTACCCCTGAAGTGACTCCCTGCCTCCTTCCCATGCTGGAGAGGCAGGTGCCTCTCCCCAAACCTCTCTGCCTGGACACCTTCCCCTAATGTTAACAAGTACCTGCCCTCCAACCCATGTCCCACATAGACTTTCCAGCATCCGACTGCAAGGCTGCTCCCACCAGCCTTCCTGGCTCTCTACCAGCCACATGCATGTATGTGCATGTGTGCATGTAAATGGTGACCCTGCCTCCAGTTGCCCTCCTCCTGCTGCCCCCACTCTCATGAAGCTGCCCACAGGCTGGAAGGCTGCCAGCAATGGGAAACCCTCGCTTTCTCTTGCTTTCCTCCTTTAAAGAGGAAAATCCACGTTTTTCTCCTTCAAATGAGAAAACCTGCATTTTTCTGCAGCAACCAGAAAACCTGCAGCTAGGGTGACCATCATAGAGGATGGTCCGGTTGCCCTATGTCCTCTATTGATATGAAACTCCACATCTTTATGTCCTTTATTTTTCTCTTGAAGAAAAAATAAAGGACATAAAGGCACTGGGTTTCGTATCAATAGAGGACAGAGTAGCAGAAAACTGGAATGTCTTCTGTGATGACTACCCTACCTGCAACCCTGGTTATGAGCATGTGCAGTAATGGCAGACAAGGGTCCTTGGGTGAATTTGATATGTTTTATTAGACCAACCCAAATAGTTGGAGAATAGTTATTAAGCAAGCTTTCGAGTTCAAAAACCCTTCGTCCTTTGAACTCGAAAGCTTGCTTAATAACTATTCTTCAACTATTTGGGTTGGTCTAATAAAACATCAAATTCACCCAAGGAACCTTGTCTGCCTATGTCCTTAGACCAACATAGCTACAACCTACACCTGTGCAGTAATGGTTAGTTTAAGAAACTCCTAGGAGTGAACTTATGAACTGTTGGCATACTTAGCAGTAGTGAGCATGCACAGAAGACAGAGAGAGAACTGGGAGGTCAATGTGAGAGACAGTTTTGAGTGAGAGGAACGTATCAAGGTAAGAATGACAGTGATTGAGTGTGATGGACACTCCAGTCAGAGACCCAGAACGATTGGCTAAGCAAAAGTGGTGTGATGAGAAGAGACCCAGAAAGTATAAAAGCTTCTTCTGTCGGTCTGAGGGTGGTCTTAGCAATTGCTGGGTTTTTGTCTGCATGTTTTGTGTTGCTTTTGCCTCAAGAGAGACCTTGTGAGAAGTCCTGAGGTCCTGAGTCCCTGAGATGGTGAGATAAATGAGCTGCTGTCTCCCTTGTCCTGGTTGAATTTGCTGGACCCTTTTGGGGCTCCACTGTGAAGGTGTGTGTGTCAGTTCCCATGTGGCTTTGTACTTGAGTGCGTGCACTGAGACGTGGCCGCTGCACTGGAACAGAGGAGTCTGATCTAGTGTACGCCTGCAGTGGGAAGGTGTGTCGATGCAAGCATGACTCTGAGAGTTAGCATGAGCTTTGCTCCAAGGTTGACCATCCCATCTGCTGCTTGGTAACAATTGGTTATGCCACTCTTAAAGTGTCATTGTTCAGCTTAGACTGTGCTAGAGCTCGTTGGTTTCTTGTTTTCCTTTTTCCTTTTCTTTCTTCAGTTATTAATATTAATACATTCTTGTACTAGTATCTTGATTCATCTCATTATTATTTTACCTAATATACCAGGAAAACCAAGCTGGGCTTCCTAACCAGCACTGCTGATCAACTTGGCTAACCTCACCCTTTTGTCCACCCCTTTCAGGGCCTCAGGCAAGTGAGATCCAATCCCTCCTTAAATTTGGCCCTCAACACAGACAACTCTGGTTTAAAAATGGCAGAACCCAGTCTAAGATGTGCCCGCCCCCACCAAAGGGAGAATGCACGTTCTGTTTGCTACTGATTTAAACTATGTTGCTTATAGAAAACGGTGCAACTTAGATTGATTTGACCTTGGGCTTTTTGAATGTCTGTACCTAGCCCACATACTAAGTAGCCCTCGAGGCCTCAGCTTTGCTCCAGTCTTACTTCCACCTTTCCTCAGCCTACTTTTTGCCCAATGTAAGTTCAGTTATATGTCCACAACGCAAGATCTGATTCATGGCTTGTACTGCTTGGCTGGTTAACAGTGGATGGCAGCCTTGAGTGATGACCACTCTGACTTTCAGGCCGTATTGATTTCTCTTCAGTGGTTTTGTTATTGAGAGTCTGCATTTCCCTACTGCATTCCCCTATGCCAACCTCTCCCATGCTCCCAGCAGCATGCTCTGGGAGCAGGTGGGCACATGCATGCACAGATGGAGCTGCACTTTGCAGCCCAGCTCATCCCTTCCACTCCTCCCACACTCCTAGGGCTGGCAGGAGTGACCACAGGGGTGGATGCCAGCATGTGAGACCCTGCACTTACCCCCTGAGGTGCAGGCCAGAGGTTAGGAGGTAGAAATAAACAGACAGAGAACATAACCCGAAAGAGCCCACTTTATTATGTACTCAAAAGTCCACAGGCAGCACAGGTCCTTCCTTGGGAGCCGCAGGGTAAGAGAACAGCTCTCAGTAAATGCTAAGTGTAAGGAGTTCAGCTTCTTTAAAAAAGTGCCATGTCTCCAGGCTCAGACATGCCTTCCCCTGGTAGAAGTGCATCAATTCAGGTGCTTCCCCTGTCCACTCACTGTCAGTGGGAACATTTCAAGAGAGCTTTGCCAGCTGAACCCCAACACCTTCCTTGGCACTATGAGCAGAACAGCATTGTTCTTGATGCTCCTTTTGCTACTTAATAGGAGTTTTAGCCCCATAACCTCAGCACCCTGACGTTGGCCAACAGAACAAATGCCCAGGACCTCCTGTACGTCTGTCATCTCCAGCCAGGGGATTCTGTGAGCTCACCACAGACAGTGGTTCTCAGGTGAACAGGCCTACAAACCATTTTTGACATGGGAATGGCACCTTTAGTGGGTGGATTTTCCACTCCTCCCTAATCCCAGGAGGATAAGCCACACCTCCTCCATGGGCTATGGGTTCTGAACCTGGACTTGTCCTAGACTCATGTGTTTTCACTACTCCGACTGTAGCTCATGCATTGTTTTGCACTGGAAGCTGTGTTCTCACACCCCTATGAGTCAGTGTGCGCTCAGCCATCCTGGTTTTCCACTGCATGGTTTGTGTTCTTACATATAACTGAATATATTTCTGTCATCTAAAAGTGGGAAAGCAGGGGGGCACCCACTCATTCTTGTGACTGAATTAATGAAGATGCAGTAAGCTTTGGAAACATCCAGTTGAAATTGAGTCAGTAAGTCCATCTGTGGTGAAAGCTTCCTGAGAGTCACTCACCCCACCAGAGAGGTCACAGTGACCTAGAAGTGGACTGGGGATTTACTTCCAGTTAACTGCAGCTTCTGTGAACAGAAGTTCATCCTGGACCATGCCCTGGCATGCGTGGAAGAGAAACAGTTCATTTGACCCACATCCTAGGAGGACAAAACTGGGATCTCCAAACTGCCCTTTGGCTCAGAGCATTGGGAACCAGGAGTTTGCGACTAGAATGTTTTTCATGCTGACCACGAAGCCTTCAACCCCCATCTCCAGGGGCCGCAGCCATGAGGGGGCAGGTCAGTTTTTGAACATGTCGCAGAGCAGCTTCTCCATGGGCGTGTTCCCAATGGTTCTGCGAAAGAAGAGGAGCTCAATACGATCTGAAGAAATAAACCTCAGCGAGGGAAGGAGCAGGAGCAATTTGCCAAACCTGGAAGAGAACAGAGAGAGTCCATGTGGATTGAGTTAGTTATTACGCACAGGGCAGTGTCCTTGGAGGAAGGTTGTCTATGGGACAGGGCTTTGTTTTTTTACTCTACTGTGCAAATGTAGACTCAGGCACTGGGGTCTGATGACATGACAGTGAATTGGAAAGTGTGCAGAGAACAAGAATGTTTGGCTTCAGTGGCATCTGTAGATTTTTGACGCTGGGGAAACAGAATTTCTCCTTTTGCTTTGTGCACCCGGGCCAGCAAAGCATGTGGCTGGAGGCCCATGAAAACACTGATCAGTTTGCCAGGGCACGGACCCACCTCTTTTGGGCAGAACATGAAGGCTTGAGCTGGAAAGCAGGGAGCCAGTTCAGCACACCTCAGGAGCATTACACAATCCATCAACATGAACTGGCAGCAAGTTCCTGCAAGGTCTCCAAGCCACATTTTGAAGCACCACTATTACCTGTGCCCCAGGTGAAAAATAACTGTACATACCAGTGGGATGAGGATGCAAATGGCTCCTATGTGGAGGTGGGGAGCTACTAGGAGAAAAGAGCTCCCTTCCTCTGAAGAGGAGGGAAAGAAGGAAAGAGAATGTTGTTCCTCTCTCTTGGGGTTGCAAACTGGAGAAGATGTTAAAGGTCACACAGGGCAGAAAGGAGCAGGCAGAAAGGAGAGTGTAGTGTGTGAGATGTAGGTAGGTATAGAGCCAGGATCCCTGGAGCAAGGTGTGGGAGGACCACCACAACCCAGCAGGAGATAAGGTTCACACCCTCTGGGAACAAGCCCAGAACAGATTAATTTACCTGTTCTATAGAGCTCTCTGCTGACCCAGGGAACACACTATCAGTGAAGTGGATTGGAGGGTGCACGGCCCAAGAACAAGGCTCCAGGCAAATGAAGGAGTACTTCATAGTGCAGACCAGCTCCTAGGCTGGTTAGAAGGGAGCAATGGATTTGTGAAGGCACTTGTCCTGAGAGGGGGGAAGGTTGTGGGTAACTGAGGAGGTGATGGGTCAGAAGGAAGCAGCTGTTGAGAAGCTAGCAGCAAACCTCACATCTGCAGCACCTGCCCACTTACCTGACCGGTTGGCTGGGGTAGTGTGTCCGGTTGTGTTGACCCAACATCATTTGCGACTGATCCTGTAGGTTCTCCACTTGCTCTGGGTCTTTCAGACCTCGTGTCTCTATAGAAAGAGGAAACACGATCAAGGCTATTCGTTGGGGCCTGCCTTTACCTTGCAAGATCCTATCCAATAAGCAAACCAAACACTCCACAAATTTCAAGTAGGTGTAAGTCTTTCTCTGGCAGACAAGGTAATTGGGGTAGATGTGATATCTTTTATTAGACCAACTAAATAGTTGGAAAAGTTGTTCTTTGCAAGCTTTTGGGTACAAACACCCTTCTTCAGGCATAGGGAAAGTCTGTCTCTGAGCACTCTTCTGGCCTGGAGCAATGATGCCTCTAACAGGTTAGACAGACACTTGGCAGGGATGGTTTAGTCAGGGATGCTCCTACCGTGAGCAGGGGGCTGAACTAGATGACCTTGTGAGTTTCCTTTCAGCCCTACTTTCCAAAGATCCTAAGAAGCCCCTCTGCCATGACACAGCTGGCACGGGGCTCTTTGCTGTAAGCCTCAGACTGAACCAGCTCAGTAGAGCTAGCTCAGGACCCTCTCTCTAGGGATTCCCCTGGCTATACACGTGGAAGGCCAGTACTGCAGCCACATCCCAGTGGGGAGATCATTATGGGTGAAATGGTTCTCAAATCACATGGTCCCCCATACTGTGACAGGACCTCTGTCTCTTCACTGTTCCCTACTAACCAGAAAAGCTGCTCATCTAGTAAATCCAACCACCTCCTCCAGCAGCAGGGATGTGGGTTGTTGGCTGAGTCATTGAGCTGGCTTTGGTCAAGGAGACTGTAGGATTTGTGATGGGTGAAAGCTGTGCACCTGGGTCAGTTTTGATTTTTTTAAGTACCAGTTTCAGGCTCTTTCCTTCAAGGGAGGTTGTTCTTTATAAATGGCTAGGATCTAGGCTGTCCCAAGGCATTTGCTGTGACATTAATGCTGGAAATACTGTTAATTCATTGAAGTTGGCTTCTAAAAACCTTCTGAAGAGAGCTGGAAAATGCTGAGGGATTTGGTTTATGCTCATGGGAGCCATTGTTTATAAGGCAGCAATTACACTATTGCAGAACAGGATGGGGAGCCTGGGCTGGAAAAAAAAAAGCTAGAGTTGAGGGCAATGACAGATCCATATGCCTGGGTTCCTGGGCTAGCAGGGGGTCTGCTGGTCAGGGTTGGAGGGCACTGGCAGAGCTGTGTTCATGGAAAATCAAGCCAGGAATAGTTGGGGGCCCTGTGAGTCAGGATTAAGGGACATTGGCAGAGCTGTACAAGTGAAGCCTGTCTGCTTTGTGGCTGGCCCTAACCCATGTCCTGTATCCCCAGTGAGGCTCACCTGGCTTGAAGAGCACAATGGCCTTCATGCAAGCGAACTCTGTGGGGTCAACAGTGAGAGACTTGAAGCGGGTGATGGTTTCCTGCAGGATGCGGATGTCCACGCTGGCAGACACAAGCTTCCCGTGGACACTGTGGGGGAGCTCAGGCACGGAGAGCAGGGGGCAGTTCTCCAGGGGCATGGACCACTGGATAGCACAGAGCAGGAAGAGCTCACTCCAAGCTTCCTCCAGCAAAATCACCTGCCAAGGAGGTGGGGTGGGGGGAATGAAACACGTGAGCTCAAAGGGCAAAACTGTCTCTCCATTATGTTCATTTCTGTGCAGATCTCATCAGTGAGACTGTGGGAACCTCTTCCCAAGTGCCAGACCTAGGTGGGCTACTGGCCAAAGCACGCTTTGGTCTGGGTGCTCAAGGAGCTACCCACTGACTGAGGTTAGAGGGCAGTGCACAGGCTGGAGCAGCTTTCAGCCTCAATGCTGACACATTAATCATTTGGTTTCCACTGGAGCACGTCAGACCAGTGCAATCGTGAGCATTAACTGCAAGAGGCTCAGCCTCAATTCAGAGCTGACAGTGGAAGCAGATTTGTTATACAGAGATCATGGGCATTAATGATGCTTCATGCAGGCAGCATAGGGGAGGTAACCTAAAGGGCTTTGTCTCCAAAACCTCAAACCATTGCTGTTTGAACTACAGGAGGCTCTGCTGAGGTGAGACCAGGGCTTAGTTGCCAGCCAGGAGATGGCAGGATGACCACATGCTTGCTCTGGTCTGATTCTAATAGGCAGGGTCATTGATAGACCCACGTGCATGCACGCATGCACACCCCAGCTCCTCCCACATAAGAACATAAGAACAGCTGTACGGACTAAAGATCTATCTAGCCTGCTGTCCCATCTCCCACAGTAGCAGTTAACGGTGCCTCAAACCACAGGCAGCCAGACTCACCTGGTCCCTGAAGGGCAGGTTGGAGAAGACCGGGAGATTTTTTGCCCACTTCACTGCCACGAAGAGGAGTCGGGCGGAGGTCTCGTAGACGCTCTCGGGGCTGGCAGATGGGTATGGGGACACCTGGTATTCACTGGAGGCCCGCTCTGGTTCATTCCCTGTTACATCAATGTTCTCGTCGGCTGTGGGAAGGAGAACGGCTGTGTCACTGGCAGCACGGGGTGGTGCTACAACTACCCCAACTGGCTCAGACACAGTGCCAGGCTCGCTGGAAGGCCCAGCACTTATGGGCCAGGATGCAGACAGGCCCACAGCTTAGCACTGGGTTGTGAAGAGGGGGAACTAAAGCTGTCTTTCCTTTCGAATATACTCCAGGTTTTCCTGACACCTGCTTTGCAGTGGCCCCAGCCCATCCCTGCAGCATTGTCCTGCATCCTGAGGACTTGAGAGTCTATGACCAGAGCCCTGGCTGTGCTGACTCCCCAGTCCTCTTTGCTGCAGCACTCAGACCACAAGAGGGACCCAGGGCAGATGAGGAAGCATCTAGGAGCCAGCAGGTTATAAGGATGACCTGTTCTTTAAGCGATGACAATGCAGTTGGTAGTATGTGGGACACAGAGGAGATGGGGTACCTGTACAGTGCTGGTGAGACCTGGCTCCAGGCACAGGTAAGCTCTGCTTTGGACCTGTCCTCACTATCCCTTTGTGTAGATGTGATTGAACCTTGCGACCCATTGGCTAGTGGCTGCCTTGCCCTGTGGGCACAAGCCCCTCACTGTAACAGAACAGGGTCACTGTGAGGGGCCCTCAGCCTGCCGGTGCCACCTCCCACTAGCAAGATGCTTGGCAATGCCCAAGCCTGGCTCTTGCAGCATTTTGACCTCTGGTCCTTGCAAGGGCTGTTCTGAGAGGTCCCATTCAGGACCCTGTGGTGCTAGGAAGAGCTGTGCAGTCTGACTCCCCTGCCCCAGAGCCTGATAACCATGTCACCACACTGACTCCTGGATTTCTGTGGGGCTGCACTGGGGTGAGACTAAGTGCACAGGAAATGTTCCTTGAGGTTCATCGACAGAACAGAGCTGTAGGAAAAGCCAAACCCATTCTTCTGGACCAGGAGCTGAGTGATGGGAGGGAGGCAACTTGGCCAGAAAGCTGAGCCCTACCTTGCCCCATGGAGATGAAGGAGGGACCCAGCATCTGGAGGAGGGAACCCATGTAACTGTGGCCTTTAAACCTACTGAGCAGCCAAACCCAAGAGCCATCTAGTCTCTGGGCTTCCACCCCCATCATGGCACCCACCCCATGCCCTGCCCATGAAGAACCTCTGGCCCCCACCCCCACAGGCACCCACCATCCTCAGGCTCCAGCTTGGCGCAGGTCTCCGCTGTCATCAGGCTGGCCATGAAGCGGTGGTTGCTGGGTGGAGTGGGTGCTCGGGGCCCTGGGGTTCCCACTGCTGCGGCGGCGGAGATGGGGCCCCGGAGGCTCGCCACGGCAGGGCAGGGCGGTGGGGGGGCCTCCCGCGTGGTGGCCAGGTGCTCGGGCTTGAGCTCAGAGTCCAGCTCAATGCTGTCAAGTCGGACCTGGGCAGTGCTGCGGGGCTGGCGCTCGTTCTGCACAGCTGCGGAGGCAGGGCGCAGGGTTAGGAGAGGGCTGGGCCATGGGCAGGCAGCAGGAGTCCTGAGGCTGCCCATGCTATGCAGTCCCATCAGCTGCCCCCAGCCCCCCTGCAGCATGGCTGGGGAGCAGGGGTCATCACTAGTCCCCTGCGCCCTTGGTCCTTTCGGCCAAGGATGGAAAATCTCTCTACAACCAGCTGCTCTAGTAGCTGCCAGCCCTGCTGTGCAGACAGGACGGCCAAGCCCTAGTCATGCTGAGGGATATGTCTCAGCTCCCTTTGAGGCAGAAGCAGAGCAAGACACCCTGACCCCCAGTCTCCCCCCTATCAGTGTCCAATGAGCTCTGCTGCCCTGGGCTCTCACTCTTGCCAACATCAGCCAAGCATCCCTTGGGCTCCGCTCACCTGCTCACGTGATTTCTATAGTGCCTCAGGGATCTTGTGGCCTCACAGATAACAAGGGGGCCCAGGTGGCTGCCCTGGGTGCCTGTAGTGCTTCCCTGGGAACCACATCTTTTGACCTTTCCCGACCCATCTCAACCGTGGCGCCCCCCACCCTGCACTCACCATCCTTGTTCATCCCAGCTTGCAGGCACTTCTTCAGCCTGCAGGCCTGGCACTGGTTCCTGTGAGCCTTGTCCACTGGGCACATCCCTGTCCCAGCCTGGCACCTGAAGGAAAGGAAGGCCACAGGCCCTGTTACACTGGCCTGATCACCTAGAGAAGTCTGAGGAAGGAGGTGGGAGGCTGCACCTGCCCTAGGAGTAATTTGGTGCTCAGGCTACAACACGGTGGCAACATGACATCCACTCCAGGTGGGAGGAGTTTAGCAGGATCTCGGTGTGCCCAGGTCCTTGGAGCAGGAGGGCTGATGAGATGAACTCACTGTCCTTTCAAACATCACAACCTATGGAAACAGGACTGCTGAGGGCCAGAATTTGAGGTCAGTGTGACTACTTCCAGGGTCTCAGAGCCAGAGAAGGGAGACCCAGCTGGGCACAACCAGCAACTGCCCTGGATGCTCCCCAGTGCCACGACCTGCACGCTTGGGTCAGCATCTTCTCCACAGGCCTTTCAGCCCCCTCTCTCCCACTGGGCTCTGCAGGGCTGGCATGGCAGCAGCTTCATCAGTCCTTTGCTGGGTCCTGCTTATCATACCCAGCCCTGACCCATTCTTGTGTGGTCTGGGGTCTGCCCAGACATCAGTGCTCATGACACCCCTAAGAGGTAGCCAAGAAATAGGGCATGTGTGTGAGGCAGCAGAGGAGCTGATGGTCCCCAAGCCCAGTGGTCTGCCAGGAGGAGGTGATTCTGGCATCCCGCCTGAGTCCTGGCTCAAGGATGCTTGGTTTGGCTTACAGCACTAGCTCAGAAGCTAAAGCCGTATGGCTTGTCCCCACCCAGCTGTGCTTTCTTCCCCAGCACAGAGCCAGCCCTCCTCTCTCCCTCCTTGGAGCCTTTGTCTCCAGCACTGGGATGCAGCTCCCATACAGCAATGGCACCGACAGTGGCAGAGGACAGCCATTGGGTTCCCAGTGTGTGAAGCACCACAAAGGGCACCTCGTGGGAGAGGACCCAGGTAGGGACCAGTGGGTGGGGGAACCTGGGTCCAAGAATGTCAGTCTGTCTGTATTCACCAGCACTGAGCCAGGAAACACTTACAGGGACTTTTTCCAAATGATCCCTCAGCACCAGCTTCTGGGGAATTACTGGGAGCTGCTGTCATACCCCCACCACTCACAGAGCCAAGGGTTCTTTGCACGTAGTCTCTGCACCAGGGCTCAAACAGACTAGCTTTATCCTTGTCACCTCTTACAGATGCTCCCCCCTCCCTCCGCACAAGAACACCTGCCAGGCACATTTCCCCATGCCAGAAGAGAGAAGGCAGAACAAAACTGGTACAGTCCTGTCTCCCACCACCACCTGGCATCTGCAGTGGTGCCACCCTCTGTTTACCTGTAGATGAGCTTCCTCCTGACGCTCCTCTTGAAGAAGCCACTGCAGCCATTGCAGGCGTAGATGCCGTAGTGCTTCCCGCTGCTGGTGTCCCCACACACCTTGCACATGAGCACAGGGCTCAGGGCCTTACCGGGGGTCGGGCTGAGCCCTGAGAGGATGAGAGGGAAATTGGCACTGGGGGCTTGGAAGCACCTGCCTCCTGGACAGGAGCACAGTGGGTAAAGCCCAGCTAGCATGGGAGGTGCCAGCTCAGCATGGGCACAGTGGGCAGCCTTGGGCTGGCAAGAGCTGGAGTTGGGGAGAAGCATGTCTGGTGGGCTCAGAGAAGACAGCCCAACTGCTGGACACGTGGGCACATTGTGTAAAGCTTGTTCCTACATTACACAAGGTGAAAGCACCTGGCCCCCTCGCCCCGTGTTCAGGCCCTACAACCCTGCCTCAAGGCCCCAGGGTTTGAAGGGCCCCAAGGGTCTCAGAGATGGGCTGTGAGAGTAGTCAGAGGCCAAGAGAGACATCCTCATCCTCCCCAGTGGTGAGGAAGACTGGGGCAGCCTGGCATGAGACAACACAGAGGGATGGAAACAGGTGGCTGGGCTAGTGCAGGCAGCTGGGCCCTGCTGGTCGCCACATCTCCTGACCCAGGAACAAGGGGCTGAGAGTGGAAGGCAGCAAATTGGTGGCTGCTAGAAGGGAATCTCCTGTATGCAGCACCCACTGGTTGGAGACTCATCTCCATGAGGGATTATGGTGTCATGACAGGCCGTCACAGAGCCTCACACACTGATGTGGCTGATACCAGCATCCCTAATGTAGTGGTACCTGCTTATGGGAAACAAATCCTTCTGCCTCTGATGGGGGCTAGGAGACAGCTGTGCTGGGTGGTGGTACCACTGTGCTGGGTGCAGGACAGTCACAAGGCAAATGGCTCCTGCCCCCAAGATCTGTGAGGCCAGCACAGTGCCAGGCAGGGCTCCTGGGGTAGTGGCAGGATTTGTGGCACTGGAGAAATACAGCCTGATGGGCAGGGGCTGGATCTCCACTGGATTCTCATGGCTTAAGACTCTCCTCAATATTTCCCCTCAGGCCTGGAGCTCCTAGTGTTTCCCTAGGGCCAGCAAAGGAAGAGGGCACAATAGCTGCTTGTAACCAGTTTCCATCTTAGTGCCCTGGCAGTCCTGAACTCTCTGAAGTACCTAACTGTGGTGACCAAAGCTTCCCAGTGGATGCTGTGCTGTCATCCTCCCCCCTGTAGCTAAGGTAGATACAAAGCCCCAAAGGACCATGCTCCAGGCACCCCTGGCCTGTAATTCTCCCAATGGCCCTAGGAGGTGCTGTCCCCTTTGCAGGGACACGGGATTGATCCCACATCCTCAAAGGTTTCATAGATTTCTTAGATTTCATAGACATTAGGGCTGGAAGGGACCTCATGGGATCATCTGATCTAGCCCCCTGTCCAAGGGCAGGAAGTCAGGTGAGGTCAGAGGACCCCAGCAAGATAATCAGCCAAACGCATCTTGCATGTGTCCAGAGTAGGTGCCTACAGGGATGGCGATTTCCAGCTCCTATTGGCACCAATGGGTGTGGGGGGGTTGTGTCAGAGCTTCTAGGAGCGATAAGACATGTAGCTGCTTCAACACATAGAGAGGTGTCTGGGGACCTCCCTGACCACCGCCCCAAAGAGATCTACCCTCCTTCCAGGGGCTTTGGTCTCCCCAGAGCCACCTGGGTTGGAGCACTTGCTCCCCCTCCTGTCACTGCCCACAGGTCTCCTGCCTTACTAGGAAGACATCTACTTGGAGCTACATGGCTGTGAGGGCCACAAAGCCCAATGCATCTCTCCCAGGCACCTCCTCAGTGCCGATAGCCCCTTCTCCACTGAGTGCCCTGGCCCACTGCCCAACACTGTTGGCTAGCGTGGCAGGTGCTGATGAATGTGACCCATGTGCGGGGGGCAGCAGGAAGGCCTGTAGAGCTGCCTGTGGCTTTTTGTGCCCCTGTGGACAGTTCTCTCCCCAGATGGTCCCAAGCCCATGAACCTCTGGCTTGCAGCCCTGGGCTCAAGCAGCAGGGGCTTCCAGAGCTGGGCTGCCACAGTGACAGCAACTTGCAGCCAAACTAAACAGCACCTGCCTCCTCCCCCACCTTTGGCCTGACTCCACAGAGGCTCAAGCACAGGTTGGGTTTTGGCCCTAAGCCAGAGAACCCCCTTGGGCTTGTGTTGGGATCTCAAGCCTTGGGGAACTTCAGGAGCCATGAGCATGTGGATGTGGAGCCCTGAGCTCTGCCTGCTCCGGCACTGTGACTCCTATAGCAGTGGCCAACGTGGAGTCAGCAGCCCAGGCCCTTTGTCAGGCCCACCAATGATTCCTCTCCAGCCTGGGCAAACTCCTGGAGGCAGGAGGTTGCCAACCCACTACAACCTAAGAGAGGAGCCCAGAAGTAGAAAGGTGAAAGGCTGCACCCAGGCTGGTTTCTGCTGATGGGTGAATGGGGAAGCAGTGCTTCAGGGACCTGCATCCCCAGGGTGGCAGGAAGCCAGAAGCCATGCCCCTTGGCACCCCAGTGCAGCTCAGTCCCATCCAGTAGCACAGCAGGGAGCCAAGGCATCCAGGTCCCTGGGGGCAGAGGGAAAGCTGGCTGCCATGTACGATAGCTTTTCTGTCCACCCCTTGCCACATACTACCCAGCTACTGCCACAGAAAAGTAGGATCCAGTCCAACAGCTACAGGCAAGGGAGACAGAGCCTCTTCAGCCCCTGACACTGCCAGGACTGCTGAGTGGGAGCCAGGTGGCAGGCAGGGGTGGCACAGCTCCTCCAGGGCTAAAAGCCCCATTTGGCCCCCAGGAGTGCCCTCCCAGGAAGCAGGGCTCTCAGGGGCAACCACAGGCCTGGTGCTTTGCTTCTTCCATGTGCTGTGGCCAGGTCCAGAGCTCCCCAGCATGTGAAATATCTGACACTGGGCCGGAAAGATGCTGCCTTAGCCAGCTTGGCCACTGCACTGGGGGAAATGGGGCCTTCAAGTCCCATAATGTTTTCCTCTGGGAACCAGCCCTTTCTGTACTACTGCCTCTCTCCAGTGTAGGGTGAATGGCCGGGGGAGGCAAGGAGGGCAGTGGGGGGCAGAGGAGTCTGGAGCTCCGGTTCCAGTTCTGTTCTGACTTGCCAGGGAGCCTGGCCGTGGCAACTGCAGCCTCCCTGGGGTCTTGGTTACCCCACTCTGTAAATAGGGACATTGGTCCATATCCTCTTTTGCAAAGCGATTCGAAACTGCTCCCCTTTGCTTAGAGTGCAAACCCCCACCAAGGGGGCAAATTCCTCTTCCCCTGGAGGCAACAGGACCTGCAGCCTGTGGGTCTAATTAGCCCAAAGGTTTTGTCTTCATGCAGAACTCCCCAGCCATCCTGGACGGCCCAGGACTCTTCGTGCTTTCTCAGAGCTCATTTCTGTTTCTCCCACCTGCAGGAGTAGGAGAAGCAATCCTGTCTGACAGTGCTGCTAACTCTAGTGATGTCTCCAGGAGATGGGCTTTGAGACAACACGGCATCTCATGAGCCCCGAGGAACCATCTCCTATGAGCTTGTCCTAGGTTTTAAAGTGACAGATTCACAAATCAGGAAACCTGAAGGCTCAAGATCCAAAAAAACCAATAAAAGGAACCCAGGATTTATGTATTGTCCTTCTAAGCCAGTCTCATGAGTTCAGGGACCTGATTCAGGATTTGCCTGGGTTTGGCAACTCTGCTCAGGGATATTGCTCCTTTGGCCTTCCCAGCTGGTGTGGCCTTTTGTGTCCTCTAGACCGTGGTAGCCCCTGTCTGTATATCTCATTGCTCTTTGGACAGAGGAAGGGCACATCTCTGCCCCCAGCACTGCTTCACCTGTGTCCAGCATCGCTGACCCCTGCCCCATCCTAACTCATGAGATTCCAGTGTTCAGCTGGTGGTCAACATGTGGAAGAGCTGAGGAAGTCTATCTTCAGATGGTCCCCCAACTCGTCTGTTTTAAGTGGCCCAAACCCTCTAGTCACTGGACATCCCCACCCAACTCAGACACCCGTCCACAACCACCCTCAGAGTTGCTTCTAGTTCACACAGCAACTCTAAGCATAAAGCCACCTGGACGCATGCTCTTACCTGACTGGTTGTCTTCCAGCCCAGCGTTCACAACGGACTCTGAGGGCGAGCTGGACATGCTGCAGGTCCTGGTGCTCAAGCCCTCTGTGGCAGGGGGCTGAAGTGCCAACTCCTGGAGGCTCTCCTCAACTTTACTGCTCAGATTCTCCCCAGGCTGCAAGGGGTGACCTGTTGCTCCAATCAATCCATCAGCAACCTTCCTGGAAGGATGTGAGATCCTGGGAGGAGGTGAGGTCCTGGCTACCCTTCAGCCTAGTCAAGGCAGAGCAGGACCTCAAGCTGCCAGGTGCTCTCCATGGTGGGCTGCAGTCCGGGGAGCTGGGCTCAGCCCCTCTGGTGCGGCCGGCTGGTTGTGTGTGTGTGTATGTGTGCGCGTCTTGCTCTCTTCAAGGCTCCTACTAAAGCAGAGCCGGGAAGATTAGTTCTTAACGCTGTGTAAGCAGATGCCTATTTGTCATCCTCTTAATCTTTAGTGTCTCCGCAAAGGTGGATCAATCAGCCACACTATGAAGAATTAAAAAGGTGCTGAGACCCGGCTGCACAGAGCCCTGCCCGGAGCCAGCTCCCTGTAACCCTAGACCCAGCGACACCAAACCCGCCTGCTGTGCTCTGCCCACAGAAACTCAACAAAACAAGCCCCCTGCCCTGGCCCTCTCTCCCCCTCTCCATGCTTTTTTTTCTGTTCTTCATGTAGGATGATTATAGCTTATTTGTTCAGCCTTCACTCTGGATGGCAGCGGTGAACCTTGGCTTCGTTCTCCCCCTGTACATCTGATCTGTCTCGCTCCCTGCCCCCTTGCTAGCAGGCCTGGGGAGCTTTTGCCTCCTGAAGGGTTTTCAGAAAGGGGGAGGGAATGAGCCATCCATTATCCTAGGGCAACAGCTAATCATAACTCAATATTTCATGAGGTGCTTTTTCCCAGGCAGGTAAATGCACCTGATTCTCAGAGCTGGCTATGAGAGAGTTATTGCTGCATTATAGATGAGGGGAAAGGGAGGAGCTTGGGGCAAGTAATTACAAGGGCTGTAAGAGAAGGGGCTTCCACTTACACGGTTATCTCCAGGCAGGGCTGAGAAGCATTGGAAAAGTTCACAGCAGGCTGAGGGAGTTCATGGAGAGCTCTCTGTGATGGAGGCTGAGCCAGGCTTTGGCTCCATTGAACTGCAGCAGCAGGCAGTGTGTCCTGTGACCTTCATGGGGAGGAAGGTATTAATGGAGGAGCCCAAACCACCTGATCTTGCCCTGACTCCAAGGATCTGAGATCCAGGCCTGGTGACTGACAGGTGAGGGCTCAGCCCTGTAGGGAGGGGGCTGGGGAGGTAGACTGAGTTGGGGCCTGCTCTCAGCTGGAGGTGTCTCCAATGGAGACTCCATATGCTTGTGTGTTTGTCAGTCCAAGGAGCCCACGTCTGGGAAGTACCAGGAGATATGTAGTGCAGGTCATTGCAATGAGTCACCAAGCTGTTTCTTGCCTTGGAGTCTTGTCTCATGGGCCCAGACAGCCCCTCTGCTCACTGCCTGGGTGCCTCCTCCACCACCCTGCTTACCAGGGGTGCAGTCTGCGATGCATGGTGAAGGGTGTTAGGGCAGAGGGATTAATTAGGGCTGAGAGAGAGAGAGATGGCTGAGATCTACCATATCAGGGAGCAATGAGTGGATATTCTTTTCTTGTCAGCATTACCAGTCCCAAGAGTTCAAACCTGGAGATATTTCCTCCCCCACCAAAAGGGTTAAAAATAATATACGCTGAGTTCTTTTTATGTCTTATGGATTTTCAGCCATCAAGAGTCACATTTTCCAGCTTTCCTCTGCACCATAAAGTCCAGAACTGAACATTGCTTTGTCCAGGGGCTAAGAGTCCCACAATCCCAGGAGCTGGGCTTTTAAGGACATTAGCAACCCTTGTGTGAGACGTAATAAAGTCAGAATGGGTTGAAGCACTGTCCTGTGTGCTTGGAATATTCAATTAAAGCTTCATTCTGCAAACAGTCCCATTATGGTAACACTTTGAGGTCACATGCAGTCCTGACGCACAGTCCCTGCCCCAGAGAACTGGCAGTCTCAGTGGAGTGATGTAAGAATCAACTTGCTCAGTCACCCATCAAAGCAGAAGGTCTCCTGCTTCCCAGCCCAGTTCCCAGACCACATAACCCTAAATAGCATAAATACATACATGTGCACGGTGCCCAATTCAGAGGTGTTTGGTTAGCCAGAGCAAAACTATGAATGAGCAAAGCAAGGAGCATCTTCCCCAAGTCAACCCATCCCACCACACTCTGGGTGATCTTGGCCACTGGCAATTAGCCAGCACTTGTAATGCCTAGTGATTCTCAGCTAGAAGGGGTATAGCATCCTGGGGGCCTGGGAGATCCTTTTAAGTGTGATACACAATATTAGCACTGTTTGGTATGCAAGCAACTACACATACTTCACTAGGTAAACCCAAAGAGATTTCAAATAGGAATCCATAGAGTCAAAACCATTGTGATCTGCTTTGGTCTTTCTGAGTTCTTTGCAACAGAAGAATTTTTCCATAGTCAAATTACCCTTAGTTTTTTAAGCTAAGAGGTGGCATTATTTCAAGGGGTGCCTTCTGTTTAATGAGGCTGAGAACCACTGATCTAGTATAACCAGCCAGAATAATACGTGGTGCACAGCTTATACAGTGCTGCCTGCCTTATCCCCTAAACTATGGTAATTACTGGGTGTGCTCACACACTCACTGCAATCCCTCTGAGCTAATCCATTTATACTGTTTAAATAAGAAGGAGGGGATGGGTGGAAATGACCAAACAGGTTTAATGGAGTCTGATTGTTTAAGAAAATTGATTAGCCACTGGACTGAAATAGCAGCTCTGAGTCCATCGGTCCCTGTGACTAGGCAAAGGCCATATGGCGGTGGATGCTTCATCAGCTATTAGCAGCATGGTTGTCATTTGTCCACCATTCTCATCTGTCTCCTCTCTTCCTTTTTTGCTCTTCTCCGACCTGCCTCCCCCCCGCCATGCCTGCCCTCTGGTTCGGGGTATGTACTGGGAAGCAGAGCTGGTGCTCTAGGCTTTAAAACTGCATTGCATGGACATCCTTCCCTCCAGGATGAGCTGCAACCTCCTGGCTGTTCCATGGCCCATGTGAAATGAGGGCACCTCTCCCAGCCTGCAAAAGTCTTCCCACAGGTGACCACAGACTCAGCACTGGGGAAAGGGACCGACTAAAACCTGGAACACAAAATTCACCTCTCGCTGTCTCCGTTTGGCTGGGTGAATGGGCTGCCAGCAGGAGAACCAGCCCTGAAATCTAGAGTTGCTACCCAAAATCCTGAGTTTGGCCCAAAACCAGAAGACTTTTTGATTAAAATATGATGTTTGCTGGGCTGTCCACGCTCCATTGGTAGATGCTAGTTACTGTTTTGCCAGCTGTTCTCAGTGTATGATGACCACGGTGATAGGCCGTGGCTAGACAACCATGCCATTGGGCTAAGCCAGTGATTCTCACTGGAGGTACCATGACACCCTGAGATGCTGAGACATGCTTTTAAGGTTGCATCCAGCCTCCTGGAAGGGGTGTGCAGGGATCACATTGAGGGGAAGGAGAGGCCAGCTGATTTGGCCCAGCCAGGATGTGATGGGGCTGTAACCCCCAGCTGCTCGTGGAGGAGTCTAGGGAGGATGAACTGGTGGAGAACAGCAGCAGCTGCTTGCAAGAAAGCAGTGAAGGGAGAAGCAGGACCTGTAGGGTGGGCCTAGACACTAGAGCAGGGAGGGGATTTGAGGGCAACAGTGCTGCTAGTGGGTGGCTGGTACAGAGTTGGGCCTTCGGGCAGTGCCCTTGTTGGAGCAGGAGGCTGGGCGGGCTGCTGCCAGGTCTCGCTGCTCTGGAGGGAATGCAGCCCTCGGCCTGCCTTGCAGAGGAGCTGGCACTTGCAGGCAGCAACATGAAGTCTCAGTTTCTCACAGAGGTGTTGCAAACTGGTCTCTATCCTGCAATCCAGGGGTGGGTCCAGAGGGGTTACAATGATACAGCTGCCTCCTCCCCAACTTTTGAACTGGATCACATCCCAGGAGCCCCTGTCTTGCCCCTCCATGCTTAGAGGCAGGTTCTTCCTTCCCATTCCCCTCCTCTTCTTCTCCCTCACCTGCTGCTCCTGTTTTTCCCACCATCCCAAAGAAAGTGCCTATCCCAAGGAGCTCAGGCCCAGCTTCTCAAGGGCATTTAGCTGCCTAACTCCCACTATAAGCAGCGGAAATGAAATACCTTTGAGGAGATGGGCCTCCCTGTCCAGCAGGGCAGGCTGCACAAGCCCACCTGGGACCCGAGTCCACACTCAGCTGGGGGCAGCTCAAGTTGAGCTCCATGTTGCGCTGGCTTCACTGCTCTGGGGACCTGAGTGGGCTGGATGAAAGCTCTGGAGGGGGGGTCCACATGTCCCAGTCATAGCACTGGTGATGGGGTGCGTAAACCCACAGTCTGGTGCACACATGCAAGCCTCAGACACACAACTTACACCTGGGTTATTCATATCAGTTGGGCAAACCAAAGGCATAATTAACCAGTTGTGTGCCTTGGCAGCACCCAGAGCTCATGTCCCACTTGCCACCCACTGTTACCCTACTGGAACAAACCACTGCAAATTACACTGGGATCAGACGTGAACAGAGCACCAGATTTCCCCAGCAGACTACAGAGTACAATTACCATATCTATCCACTAGATGCTGGAGGTAACAGCTGTTTGCACTGCAGTCCGGATGGCACACTGGAGATTGCATTTGATGTCGGAGGTAACAGGTCAGGATAACTGCAGACACACATTTACACCATGGTGGTTTTACTCCAGATTTTTCAGGAGGCGATTTTGTATTAGATCTATACAGCTTTGTGTCATGTCCCTGCTCCACTTTTACACTGGTGTAAACTCAGTGTGTCCAGAGCTTTAGCCAATTGCCATGTCTTGTTCTTAAAGGGCCACATTCCATTAATCCAGGGGGTTCTCAACCTTTTTAGACTCGAGGCAGCCCTTTGGAAAATGTCAGCTTTTAGATTTTCACTCATTTTTTT